TTATTTCCAAAGGTCCTCCTGTCTGGGAGTCACATCCTCTGATATGAGGAAGTGATGCCAGCGGAGCCTTCCTCCGGCTGTTTAAGACGTTTCAGTGTACGCACGTTCTCTTTCTCTTTGTGAAGGTAAACACGGCCTCCCCCCTTCAGAGACCACAGCCATGGTGGAGCACATAAATGCCAAGTGTCCCAGCCTGGAGTTCGTGGGGCTGATGACCATAGGAAGCTTTGGGCATGATCTTAGTCAAGGACCAAATCCAGACTTCCAGGTACCGAGGGGTCAGGGGAGACGGCTCGTGTGCTAATAACGTGCTGAATGCCGTCGCCAGCCCGCTGCTGTGACCAGCTGCAGAGGCACCCACGTGCTGCTCGGCCACATCCTAACCCTCTTCCTGCCTCTTCTCGGAAGGAAAAGGGAAGAACAGATGCCCCAAACCCCACAGACCTTTCTCAGCTCAATTTGAACTTGGCTAAAACACAGCCTTTAGAGAAAATGGATTCTTTCTTCCTCTCTTGGGACTACCCTCTCCAGGGTAGTTTTCTTGAAAGTGGGATAGTTTCTAAAAAACCCTTTCAGTAACTTGTGGAAATTTTGCCAGGCCTTGAAATCATGAGGCATGCTTAATCTTTGTCAGAGATGGTCGGATCCGGCCACTTTTCGGCGTACTCAGAGAGGGAAGGCAGGAGTGAAGTAGGTGTCACACTCGTCTTTTCGTCAGGTGCTGCTGTCCCTGCGGGAGGAGCTGTGTGCAAAGCTGCACATCCCCACCGACCAGGTGGAGCTGAGCATGGGCATGTCCGTGGACTTCCAGCACGCGGTGAGTGTCCTTCCAGTGGGCGTCCTGTCTGCCTCGCGCGGGGGGTCGGAAAGGCTGGAGCAGGAGCAGGTCTTGGCTGGAGAGACCTGTGCGATGCCTCGCGGTAGCTGCAGGGCTCCCAGCAGCAGTGGTTCTCGGCTCTTCTCACACCTCACCATTTCCCACACCACTTCTTTTTTGAAAAGAAATTTATAGAAATTATAGCCTGTCACCTAATTTTTAAAAACTTCATCTAATTCCCTAAATGTGCTCTCAAGGAAAATAAGAAATTAAGCTATAATGTTTTTAAAGGCATTTCATCATGTAAATGCTTGGGCATGGCTCCGGGACCGTAAATCCTGATGAAGCATCCGAGGCTGAATCTTAGGTACGGATTCACCCAGAATGCAGCGGCTGCACACGCACACTGGTTCAGGTGTGCTGGATTGGCAACTCAAACCCATGATTTTCTGGAGTAGTAAATAACTTGATAAAGTCCCCAAAATCAAAGTATAAACTTGCATTCCTGGAAAACTGTATGTATTAAAACAGTGAAAAAATACATTGCATTTATAAGTCAGATAGAATTCAATCCTGTGCTTAGAGAATTGCAAGGAGACTTTTTTCTTCTACTTGTCATTCTTCATACTAGCCTCTCGAGAGCCAGAATGGAGGCACAGCTTCGGCATTTGCTACATTTCGTTATTTTAAACTCAGTCCTCTCCACTTTCTCCTCTTTCCCACAGATTGAAGTAGGATCCACGAATGTCCGAATAGGAAGCACCATTTTCGGAGAGCGGGATTACTCAAAGAATCCTGCCCCGGACAAGTCCGCAGCAGACCTGAAGGCCCCGGAGGTGGCACAGGAACACTGAGCCGGGCAACAGCCAAGAAGACTAACTATGCACTAACCGAGATTTTCATTTTGGTATTCCCTGTGTCACTGCACAATCCTGCGCTCCTGTGACCTGGAGAGAGAGCGCTGACGATTACGTGTATTGATGGAAACCATCTGTACTTAGTCTCTGACAGGAAGTTCACTTCAAGCAGTGGCTTTGGATTGGATTTAAGAAATTCAGACATTTCTGCAGAGCAGACACCAAGTCAATAGCAAGGAATGGAGTTCAGTGTTGAATTCTGCCCAGGAGCACAAATCGATCCATGAATGCCTTTCCCAGGTTAAAATTTGCTCGTATACCTATCATCATGGAAGTCAGAGGGATTCCTGTTTTTCACCCCACTTTAACAGGAAGTTCCCTGGCTGGGCGTGGTGGCTCACACTTGTAATCCCAGCACTTTGGGAGGCCGAGGTGGGAGGATCACTTGAATCCAGGAGTTCGAGACCAGCCTGGGAAACATAGCAAGACTTCATCTCTACAAAAAAAAAGAAAGGAAACTCCCTATGGGTCGTAACTCTCTACAAACTCCTACTAAATCGTCTCAATTGCTGCTCTGGAACAAGGTGATTTCTGCCCGCAATTTCTCCCCTAGCCAGTAGATAGGTGAAGACATTCTCTACTCTGGAATGGCAGTACAGGTAACTTCAGGAAATGTCTCAAGTTAATTCTCCAAACACAAATCGTTGCTAACGTGAGTTTATGTCGTCAGCCACCCTGTGGTATTAACACTGAAATTACAGGAGTAACATGAGTAGGACTGGGCCTTTCTAACATCCTCCTGAAGGGGCCGGGCTTTGGGTTTTTTCTTTTGGGCCTTCCGTTGTTGGGATTTTATTGTTATCTCTTCTACCATAATCCTTTTTATGGTGACTGTTTAAATCCAAGACCCGTGAATTTCGTTACTCTTGAGAAATGAAAGATTCATTCAAAGCCATTTCAGGAACTTGGTTTCCACAAGCCCTGGCTTTGACATTCCTTTTCCTGAGAAGCACTTTCCAAGCACATTCATAGCTTCCCCATTATATTCCTAAGCCAGAATCTTGCCACCTTCTTGATTGTTAACAAGGTAGCAAGATCTTCAAAAACCAGAGAACACAGTTCTCCAGTAGTCATGACAGATGGCTGCAGTGGGTTGTTGATTTCCTACATGGCTTTTCCTCTTATTTATTCAAGCCCAGTCTTTTAGTTCTCTGAAATCACTTTCAGATCATGATGCTGCTGCTGAATGTACTTTTGTAAAACTTAAACCATCATCGCTCCTGTAGTGTTTTGCTCAAAGCCATGGTGTGATATGCCAGAGTCTATTAAATAAAAATGTGAGTTTGAATTATACCATCTGTGCCAATTACAAAGCAATTAAAAGATTTATTTTTCATGATCTAGTGTAGTGAGTACATGGACCAGGAGGGGGGCACTGAAGCCAGCGGGAAGCAGCTGTGCCCGTTTCTTGGCATCGTGCCATCCTGGCTTTGGCCGAAGGCTTCCCTTGGGTTACAGATGCAGCCAAAGCCACACCGTGGGTGAGAGACGGATTCTGAACTCCCAAGGGTGAGAAAGTGAAACATGGACGTTTTGGGGAATTACAAAAGTAGAAGTTACTTCTTACTGCAGGAAATTCTTTTGAATTGCCGCTAGGTGGCGACATTGGCTAACCTGAGGGGCAAGCGCTGGCGCTCCACCTCCAGCGACTTACCCTGCTAGGCAGAAATGGAGGAGGCCAGAAAGGACGTGACTTTCCCAGGTGGTACGGGTGACTCTTGCAGAGCCACTGGGTACCTTCAGCTCCCTCATTTCTTTGCTAGCTTGAGGGTGGCTGCAGAACCCTTCAGGAGAGCTGAAATGATTTGAGCAAGAAAGATATCTCTGGGCCGGGCGCAGTGGCTCACGCCTGTAATCCTAGCACTCTGGGATGCCAAGGCGGGAGGATCGCTTGAGCTCACACGTGCGAGACCAGCCTCAGCAAGAGCAAGACCCTGTCCTACTAAAAATAGAAAAAAAAAAATTAGCCGGGTGTGGTGGCGCACACCTGTAGTCCCACCTACTTGGGAGGCTGAGGAAGGAGGATCACTTGAGCCCAGGAGTTTGAGGTTGCTGTGAGCTAGGCTGAAACCACAGCACTCTAGCCCGGGCGACAGAGGGAGACTCTGTCTCAAAAAAAAAAAAAAAAAAAGATCACTCTGGCACATGCCTGGAGATTAAGGCAAAGCGGGGGAGGCCGAATCAAATCCAGACAAGAGAAGGAAACCAAAGTCCGTCCAGCGTGTCCACAGCAGGACGGGACCTTTTGCAGAGAGAAAATTAAGCCAGGTTGTGACGTCGTGTTTTGTTGCACGTGATGAGTGGCGGGTTGAGTTTCTCCCAGACTGTGATCAGAGCAGTGTTCCGGAGTTACAGCAGCATGCTCTCCCCCG